ACCGGAGTCCGCCGCGCCGCCGGAGCACCCCCCCCGCGGAATGCCGTGCCACGCTCCCTCCGCAGCCCCTTACCAGGTGCCGCCCCAAGCATGTGCTTGGGTGCCTGGTGCCTGGAGCCGGCCCTGACTGCTGACACCACTACCTCACTACAAATAGGCCAAATAGCCATCAACTGATAACAACTGATATTTGGTTAATACCAGTCTGGGCCAGATTTGAGGCAGTGATGATGCAGAGGCTAATGGCGCTATATGAAATCATTCATTTACTTTAGACAATGCAGATTGATAAAAATGAATGGCACGCTGGCTTGGAATTTTCCTTTTGTTTCTGCCTAGCCGATGGAGTCTCCTGTGACTGTGGGGCCTATTTCAGGTCCTCCGTTCGTTCACATAACCGGGCAGAGTTCCTCTGGGCAGCATCCACTGGCTCCCTTGCCGCCTTCGAGGAGCAGTGGGCACTGTCCGAGGTTCTCTGCTCGGTGTCCCCATCTGGTTTACTTCATTTGACCCTTTGACCTCACTCCTGTCCCTGTTCTTTTATTAGTTGTCCCCCGTAATTTTTTGGTCTCCAGGTCCTGTGGACCCCCCCCTTAGGCTGGGGGGCATCCTTTAGCAGTGGGCTTCGCCCGCCCACTTACTGGATCCCAACAGGATCATCATGCTGCCTCTGCATATTTTTGTACATCTATCATACATTCACTTTTTAAGCCCTACATTTCCCATCTTACACTCCCTGGGAATCCTTTCCCTCTCATTTTTATGAAGAGCTTAGTGGAGACTGTTTCTGGATGACTGTTTGTATGATGCAACATCTCCCCAAAACCTAGTGCTAACACCAACACATTTCACGTGTGCTGAATGACTCTGCAGAAAACTGCAGACCTGAGACCAATGATTTCTGTAGGAAATATTGCCCACAGCTGTTTCAGGACATATTATTTGCATTGGATTGCAATATGCTAATGTTGCATTTAACTGTGGCTCATTCCAAGTGAAATCTCACCATGGTGATTGCAAAATTGAACCTATTATTAAAAAAACAAACAAAAATGCAAATAATACCACAGAGAATCAAACTAAAAATGTTAAAAAAAATAATAATTTGGGTAACTTTTTGGACAATTAGTATATGGGAAAATAAGTGCAATTTATATAATTTTAAATGATTAGCATCTCTTAGCTCTAGTGCAGAAGCTAAAAGAGCAATTCTTGTTTGTAATGGCTCTGTGTGGCCTTTCTTTGCATAATACTTCAGGCATGCAAATTTTGGTTGCTTAGGCATACAATTGTTTAACCATTTGACCTTATGGAGGCTGTTATATTGTGTTTCTCAAGCTAAACTGCACAAGTTAAAACACCATAACGCTGAATTTTTAAAGTATCAGAATAATTCACTTTCCCCTTATTGGCTGTTGATTTTTACTAGGCTAGCATTTGAAATTCATTAAGTACATTGCACACACACTCACTTACATACAAATGCTTTATTATTGAAAATACCTCCGTGGGTGTCCCATAATGAAAATGCAACGAAAGTACATATTAAAAAAATCAAGGCACAGTAGGGTGTTTGTCACAATATATTAATTGAAAATTAATCTCTTCTCAGCCATCTTGAAAGGTTTGCCAGAGCATAACTAAATAGCTGAAGAGGTCTGTGTTGAGGAATATTCAGTTTTGTATATTACAATATACAGTTGTGGAACTTAGTTAACATCTTTTGGTGCAAAACCTTTATTTAATCTTTGGATTTTTCTGTGTGACTACTGTAGACACAGAATATTTTAAGAGATCAGGAGAAAAAAGAAGCATTATTCAATAATATTTACACTTGGACATAATTGTTTAATTGACTTTTACAAAACACAAATGTACAGTAAACAGTTTTTACCTCCCCCCAATGACTGCAATCAATTCATGGGGAAGATGCATTCTTTGAAATGAAGCTCAGTGATATGTTAGACTTTCTATACAAAAGCACCCAAGGTTCAGATGCTTGTTCAGTACAAACGTTAGTGTTATACTGGAACAAACATGTTTTCTTCTCCAGAAAACTCAGGTATGTAAAATAGATGGCATGGCACAAATCCTGTTTTTCTTACGTAAGTAGGCCCATGGACATTAGGTTGCAAGCGAGACCATAAGATAAGCAGCGTCTGACCCTACGCATGTACTTAAAACTGAAAACATGAAATCTGACTGTAAACATCCCTAATTTTTGTTATTTCCTCTCTGTTTCTGGATGAATTGTCTGCCCATGGACGTAAAGGCCAAATTCTGTCTTCATACCTGGCTGTATGCCCCATTGGGGCATGAAAGGATGCCAGAATTTGGCCAATAGCTTTAGCTATAGGTGAAGGCAGGAACAGTGGTTGTCCTTAAATAGCTACCTCAGCATATGTAGTACTTCCATATATTTACTTAGGGAATAGCACAAATACTGAGGTAACATTGTCTAGTTAACCAAGGTCTTGTTAAACCTTTTGCTCACACCTGAAAAAGCACTTTTGTGTTGGTATAGCTTATACCAGTTCCCCAGATGAAATAAGCTGTACTAAGAAAAGGACTTTTGTGTTTATATAACAGCATCTGTACTAGGGCTTTTGCAGATATTAAAATGTCACTAAGAAAATCACACCCCTATGTGATATTACTATACAGGTAAAAGTTACTAGTGTAGACCAGGCCTAAGACAACTGGCAGTTCTTTAAGGATGGCCATTGAATAGTGCAAGGTAGGAGCTGTGTGTGACAGAGCCCCACAGAGCTCACCTGAAACACCCTTGCTGTTCCAGTCCCTGGCCTGTCATGAGTGGAGCTGCTAAAGATGTGGTGGTTTGTGATATGAGGAAGTCTCCTAGGTAAAAGTTTTGGGGTTCTCACTTTCAGCCGCTAAGGCAGGTTGTAATGTAGGTCTCAGAGATGACTGGCTAACAGCAGCCCTCTACCAACTGACCATTTCCTCTCTTACACATTTATCCTTTCCTCCTTTGTTGTTTAAACCTCAGTTCCCTCTCTAGGATACAGGGTGTTATTTGCACCGATACTGCTGTAGAAATGGGTATTAAATTGATTGAGAACTGAATTGCTGTAGCCAAGATGGCTGGAAGGCATTGAATTGGACCATTCTGCCCCACTATGGCTGGGGATATTAGAAAGTGTAGCGTATGAATTGAATCCTACCATATTCTGTCCCATTTTGTCAGTGGGCTCAACGCTGAGTCCCAGAGGCACTGATCGGCTCACCGAGTTAGAGCCATTAACATACGCGGCCATACTGGAGAGGAAGTTGTTGAGGCAGGGACTGCTGGAAGATGGCGGAGAAGATCTCTTGTCAGGTGAACTGTCAGTTCCAGGTGAGGAGCTTTCCAAGAGATCCTGGTGTTCGGCAGCCTTGGGACTGCCACTTAAGGCACTGTCCTCCGATTTCTCAGATGCAAGAGATGCTGTGCTGGACCCAATGTCAGACTTCCTTTTCCTCTTCCGACGGAAATTTCCATTGTCAAACATCTTCTCACAGTTTGGGTCCAGAGTCCAGTAATTCCCTTTTCCTGTTAAGAGACCAGCAGATTCTAAATAGAAAGACAGGCACAGGCAGCAAAGAGTAGATTCCCTGGGTTTCATCTCAATCTTTCTGCTTCACAAAAAATAATTATAAAAAACAGCAATTGTTTGATACCCTGCAAAGAAGTCCCTGGTCTTCAAGCCCAGCAAAGACTGAAGCTTTGGGCCAGATCCTCCTCAGTTCTTGCTGAGGTAAAACTTTTAATGAAGTTGATGGGAATTTTACTTGAGTATAAACTTCAGGACTTCACCCTTTGTGTTGGCAGCACAGGGACCAAATCCTTGCAGCCCCATAGGGTCAGTGGCATAGCATTGATTGCTAGACAGAGCAGGATTTGCCTCACAGTGACACACACAGTCATTCAGCTGGCTTCACATATGTCCCAATAGCTGTTGCTGGCTAACAATAAATAAAGGAACAGCACTGTCAAAAAATCAGCCAAGAGGCTGGGGACTGGCAAGCAGTGATACTATTTCTAGTTTAAAAGCTGACTGTTTAAACCAAGCAAAGCAAACAAACAAAACCCTTCCCTGTTTTTGAGAATTGTTGTTGACTCCATAAAGCAAATGAATTTTCCTTGACAATTTCCTTTTGTCTTAATACTTTTCCATTAATTACTGATTCACATACAATATGCCAAATGGCTTTTGAATGTCTCTCGCTCAGCTAGACTGCTTGCGTGCTTGTTAAGCCATGTGTGCTCTGCACACTGATCAATATTCAGGAAAAACTACAGCAGAGGAGAATTGCCTTCTGTGCCTGGCATGCTTCATTAGCTACACTGTGGGTCAGAGTCAGATCTCAGCTACATGGGTGTAAATTCCAGAGCAACTCTGCCAAAGTCAGCAGAATTACTTTGGATTTACACTGAGGTGAGACCAGAATCTGGCCCATTGTGTCTTTTTACAAAATATATACAAGCATGCGGGGGAGGGGGGGAAGGGGAGGGGAGAGAGAAACTACTTCAAAAATGTACCTGGGTCATCTTCGTCTCTGGGCACTTTCTTAAAGCAATCGTTGAGAGACAGGTTATGCCTTATGGAGTTCTGCCAACCTGCCTTGCTTTTGTTGTAGAAGGGGAAGTTGTCAGCCACGTACTGGTAGATCTGGCTGAGTGTTAGCCTCTTCTCCGGTGCTCCATGGATGGCCATGGCGATAAGCGCAGAGTAGGAGTAGGGTGGTCTCACCAGCTTCATCAGCTCCTCTTGGGAAGGGAGAGGAAGCCAGCCCAAATCAGTACCCCCCAAACTGTGCATGTTAGGCAAGAGCTGCCGTTGCATCCCATAGGACTGAGGGATGAAAGGACTGGTGTTGGATCCTGGTAGGTATGATGGTGGGGTAATGGAGGGTCCATTTAGCCAGAGGTAAGGGTTGGGAGTGGTGTTGTAGTCCCCAGATTCAAAGTTTGTTGGTCGTTGTGGGCTCGGAACGTTCTGTGGATGGAAAAAGTTTTCATAATAGATGTTCATCTCGGGAGGCTCCTGGCCAATATTTGGAAATTGCGGGCTGCAGCGAGGTGGAGAGTGTGTCTGCAGATCAAATGAGCTCATAATCTAGCACTAGCAGTCTACCCAGTTACAACACACCTGTGTTAGTCCTTCCTGAAGACAGGTGCATCACCCGTGCCCTTCCTCAAGTACTTATGCACCTGTAAATGTTTAGGTTTGTGTTCCGTGCTCCGCCCAGTCTGCCCTGACTGGCTGGAGATTAGAGAGATATCCTTTTTGGAATGTTGGCAGTCCAGGCCAGTAATTTATGTCACATCAACCAAATTTGAAAGTTACAACTGTTTATCTTTTTAAATGAATGGAGGAATTTTCCACTAATATGACTGACACAAAAAAGTTTAAGGTGCTTTGAAGTTAAAGTTCGTAACCGAAGTAAGAGCCACCTTCTCCTACCCTTTTACAATACAATATTCGCTTGTAGTGCATCTCCTTTAGAGGGCAACCATTATGTCCAGCTGTGAGTAGCAGTTTAAGATGCAAAAGGCATTTTCACTGTGCAGTAAACAGTAGGTACAGCATAAAAGGTCGTATCTTCTTTGCCTTTGTAATTTTAAGTTTTAACAGCACGCTACTATACAATTCCCTCTAGATTTACAGGCACTCAGAAAACGACAGGTTCTGCAAGTGCTTGCTCATGTGAGCAGTCTCACTCAGTTCAGTGGGATTACTGACTTGAGTAAAAACTACTCAAACCTTGTGCTATAACTGCCCCTAGGTGAGCAGTGGTTGAAAGTAATATTTGCTGCTTCCTCCATAACACTACCTTCTCTGGCCTGATTCTGCAAGCGGAACTGCATGGGGTCAAGGATCTGGCCTGTGTGGATTAGGTGTTATCTGATCAGGAGATCATTTGCCCTTAGAACCCCCTTAAGAGAAATTCCAGGAAGAAGAGACACTTTTCAACAAAGCTCCTATTACATCATACATTTAAAGAGCTTTATTTAGAACTCTATAAATAGAACTGGTCCCTTAAAATCAGAAATTGTTAAAAAATATAAATCTTAATTGGCAGCTTGTATGTACAAAGAAGGAAGAATAGAGTTGCACCCCCCCCAAACACTTTTGCCAGAGTGTGGCTAGCCCTTAGATTGTTTAAATTGCTTAAAACCCCAATTGTACTTTCTCTCCAGGGACTAAGCAATAAATAAGATTTTGATTTTTTTTCTGATCTCTAAATGTATTCATCAAATACCTGACAGAAACCTACCCACATTCTTTGGAAATATAGTCCTCCTGAGTAATGCATGTATTACTTGATTGATTCAAAGACATGTGAAAGTCCTTATTAATGAAAGAACATATTTAAAGGATGCTGTGTTAAGATGACTTTTAGATGGCACTGGGTTCATGTGATTAATGAGAAATCTGGCCTTTGACATTTGGTTTCTAATTCCTGGCTCTGCCACAGATATATTGTGTGACTCTGGCCAAGTCACTTAACTTACTGTGCCTCCATTTCCTCATAAGGGTATTGGGAAGTTTCACTAATGTAATGCTTGTAAAGAGCTTTTAAATGCTTGGATGGCAGTGAATAGAGAAGCGCAGAGTACTAGCTGAAGAATACAGGAATACACAATAATGCAGGGCAAGCCAAACTTCTGGTCCAGCAGCATCACTTATTTTTGAATGGGCCTATTATTTTATTTGTTTACACTGTTGGCCTTTATTTTTAAGCCATTCCCAATAGGAACAAGTGTTGACAAACAAGTCCATATTTTGATTTGAACAGTTGCATTGAACCTTGCCGGGGGGATAAGAAGTCATATAAACATGGGACAGGCCACACATAACAGGCAAACTTTCACCGCAGATATGGGGTAGTCCTCAGACTTTCCTATATGGCTGGCAGTACAGAAGAGGAGTGGGCTCAATTTAAAAAGAAACAGCAAGCCATTTTCAGTGAGGGGAAAAAAGTGAACACTTGTCCTTATGAATTATATGTTCCCAAAGTTAACTAGCAACAAAGCTTCAATTTGTGAGAATCCTAATATACCCCTGGTAAAATGCTGAGAAAAAATGCTTGCAAGTTTCCTGGTGAATCCAGTAATGTCTAAATATATATTAAAAGTCCTCCTGCAATCCCACAAATTTTATCCTACAAACAATCCTTACTCACACAACTGAGTGCTGGAAAAAAGGATTGCTTGTACGAGTGCCACTTTAAAAACTAATCAATACTTAAGATCTAGTGTGAAATAGATGGAAAATGTTAGACCCTACAAACTAATTACCCTATGGCTACAAAATACGTGAAGAATTTGCTAATTCTTTTACTGTACCTGCATGCAGGACTTGAAACGTTTTGGGTTTTTCATTTCAGGTAGTAAAAGTTCAGTCTGCTGTACTATGGGCTGTGATGAGCAGTTTCTAATTGCTTAGTCCTTGAAGTGTTGTGTGCTTATTTACAGTTAAATACACTGAAATGAGTGTTTGGCATATACATGCTTTGAAAGGATGCCAGGCTTTGCAGGAAAAGAAAAAAGTCACTTGTGCAACCAGAGACTCAAGGAGGTTGTAAAACTTTCAGTGAACTAAGCTGTATGAAGTTGCAAGGCAGCGCACTGCCGCAAGGTCAGAACCCCAGTGTGCTGCAGCTGGCCGAGAATGGATCTTGCCCGTGAGCTTAACCTGATATTGACGTGTGAGCAAGCAAGCGAAGTATCACAGTGTACAAAGCAAATAAAGTAAAAGCCTGATGAGAGTCCAAATACTGTCCTGGCTGTCCCGTAGCACTAAGGTGATGCCTACACTACAGACTTCTGCTGGCATAGCTATACCATCTGTGATGAGAGGTGATCTCTGACTAAAATAGCTGTGGCGGCACAGCCCTTCTAGCATAGATGCAATTATCCTGGCAAAGCTGTGCTTTTACTGGTATAGCGTCTTTCATTTGTGGGTATGTGCTATAAGCTAGAGCTCTGAGCATGTACAAGTGCCATGGTATAGCATACCAACACCCATCAAGAGCTCCTAATGTACACATGGCCTAAGGGTAGATGATAGAGTTACAGCATTGTTGATGTTGATTCTAAAAATCACAATGCACTAAGCTTTAATGCAGTATCTCGGTTAACATGTCATGTTTTATATAACAAGTGTTTTCTTACTAGTAGAATGCACTTGATTGTTCAAACCCTAATTAACTGAAAGTCCTGGCCAACCAAAGGGTGTTTTGGAGGGGTTGTGCTTGGAAGCTTCACTCTTGTGCTATCTTAAATGACACTCTTAACTTCTGCAGGGCTGATGCTAAGTTCCTGTAGAGTGGCTAAATTCCACAGGCCTGCAGCTCAGCTCCTGCCCCGCTCCTCTCATCCTGCCAAACTTCAGTGCTCTGTTAGTCCAAAGCTTCCCAACATTCCCCTTTTGCTGAGCAGGCTGCCTGTAACGAACATCCCTGATTATCTGAACTCCTGATGATGCTAAGATATGGCATATTTCCACAAACCTCCTTAAAACTGGAATTCTGACATACAGGGCATTTCATCCTGAAGCTCTACATTCAGTACTACTGAAATGCAGCCACTGCTCGGGTGGATAATGTGCCTGCAGTCTGAGAGGAAATTTGAAGCCTAAACATCTACACTGCTATTGTTAGCTCTGCAGCACAGGCCCTGTGACATGAGTCAGTCAATCCTGGCTCTGAGAGTCTCTGCCATGGGTAATTTTTTTGCTGTGTAGACGTAGCCTTTGGTAGTATTGGAATATGAATATTAGCTTAAGTGATTGCATGTAACAGGAGCTTAGTTAACCCAACTTAGAATTGAGATGTCTAGGCCAATGCATCTTTTAAAAATGATTAAATATAGTGATGGAAATATGCCAAAGTTGAAGGAATGCACATTCAGGCTGTCTCAGTCTCCACATAAGTAAATATAATAAAGCTAACCCCAAGCACGGTTTATCATCACAACTCAATGCTCTGTTAAATAATGAATTTGCAAAGGCTACAAAATACCATCACAGACGAAAGACGTGGGAAAAGACAAGAGGTGTGAAAAGAAAGAAAAGAACAAAACAACTTGCAATTCAGTGTACTGAGCCATACAGCATTTTCCAGATGCATTTAGGGACTCCTTGCACTCTAGAAGGCACGTCCCTAGAATATAATATCCCTCTATACTGTCTCATTATCTAAAGACAACTATCTGATATACAGCTGTGCACTTTTTTAAAGGTCTTTTTCCTTTGTTTGGGAATAGCATTCCACTAATCCTCCAGCAAGTGTCTACACAAAGGAGACATATTAGACCATCAAAAGAAAAATCAGTAAGAGAAGCCAAAGAAAACACGTGCATCTCAAGGTCATTGCAAACCATCAAAGACTTGGTGAATGTAAAATAAAATACCACAGATGAAGAAACCTGAAAACATTATTCCCAGAAATGCATGTGCTGAAAAATGAAATTCATGGTGCATGCAGTAATCCCTGGGTCTATTAATGCTGCAAAGCCAGTGACTCAGGTCCTCATGCTGGCTACTTCTTGATCCCATTAGATCAGTTGGATTTAGGGATGGAACTGTAGTCAGTTCATGGGGAAGAGAAAACTTGCTCTTCCGGTACATGATATTCTACCAGGAGTTCTCATGTGGATTTTCCTCTTTCTGGAGGGTATAACCTAAACTCTCTTAATTAGAAGGAATTAATGTGCATATTGAATATTCCACTCCATCATACTTTGACAGCCTCAGTGCGGCTGCCACCTCCAAAAAGGGGAAATGATTGCCTGTTTCAGAATATTTGATCACGCTTGTACGCCTGCCACTCTTAATATTTGTTGACTACTCAGACGAGCAGTGCTAAGATCAATTACAGCATCTATGTAAATATTAACTGTGCTGCCTGAGTAAATTAATCTGTACACATCTTCATTCTTAGCCAGAAATCCTTCAAGATCCTTTAAACTGCCTTATGTTTTTTTGTATGAGTTTTATATAGCAAGATTTAGAGAGAGAAGAAAAATCCACTGGTAATTTTATTGCCACCACAAGCAACTCTCTTATGCTAACTGTAATAATTACAGGTTTTTATTGTCCGGGTATTTGCTATGCATGTAAATTAAAATAAAACAACCCCCCTCCCCCCTCCCAAAAAAACTTAAATGGATCTCTCATTCGAAAATGCAGCAAAATAGTTGCATGCATTTAAAACAAGCAATTAAAGTTCTACT